CCCAGGCGGATGTCTAATATGAAGATGTGTTGAGGATGTCTCGAGCGAGACGTTTGCTTTCATGTGTACAGGTCGCCCAGGCGGATGTCTACAATGAGGAAGTGTTGAAAACGTCTCGAGCGAAACGCTTGTTTTCACGTGCCCAGGTCACCCAGACGGACGTCTCACATGAAGATGTGTTGAGGATGTCTCGAGCGAACCACTTGTTTTCACGTGTTCAGTTTGCCCAGGCGGATGTCTAGCATGAGAATATGTTGATGATGTGTTGAGCGAAACGTTTGTTTTCACGTGTCCAGGTCGCTCAGGCGGATGTCTAGCATGATGATTTTGACAGGATGTCTCGAGCGAAACGCTTGTCCCCAGCACGTTCCGTAGCGCGTCCCCTTGGCACGTCCCACGGTGCATCCCCATGGCACGTCCCCTGGCACGACGCTTGGCGCGTCCCTTGAGACGTTCCGCGGCGCGTCCTCCTGGCATGTCCCCCTGTCAATTAGCTCTGGGGCAGCTGCTATGTGTTCAGGCAGCTCGAGCTTAAGATCCAGATCAGTTCGGTCAGGACTCGGATGCAAAGGGGGACCCGATCCACAACGCTATAGAGCACAATCGCGGCATGGCACATCGCAATTCAGCACGGCGCAGCACAGCACAGACTTCGGCAGGGTACATCAAGATCGATACATTCAGCATTGCAACCTGGCTCGTTCCTTGGCACGTTCCGTGGCGCGTCCCGTGGCGAGTCCCCCTGGCACGTCGCGTGGCGCGTCCCCTGGCACATCCCGTGGCACATCCATTGGCACGTTCCGTAGCGCGTCCCTTTGGCACGTCCCGCGGTGCGACCCCATGGCACGTCCCCTGGCACGTCGCCTGGCGCGTCCCTTGGGACGTTTCGCGGCGCGTCCTCCTGGCATGTTCCCCTGTCATTAGCTCTGGGGCAGCTGCTATGTGTTCAGGCAGCTCGAGCTTAAGATCCAGATCAGTTCGGTCAGGACTCGGATGCAAAGGAAGACTCGATCCACAACGCTATAGAGCACAATCGCGGCATGGCACATCGCAATTCAGCACGGCGCAGCACAGCACAGACTTCGGCACGGTACATCAAGATCGATACACTCCGCATTGCATGTGCCCGTCACCTAATCATGTGTCTTTGAAAACGCTGCAATGCGGTACATTTTATATTCCTTTCCAGGTTTGTGGGTCGATCATGTTCCCCCCCCCAGAAATTCTGAGAGCCCTCGCAGGGCGTGGTCAAAATGCCCGTTTTGGGCCTCCCCCCCTCGTGCGGTCCATCAACAAGGAACAGTAAGCAGCAAAAAGTCAACAAGGAACAGTAAGCAGCAAGAAGCATAATTGTAACAGTGGAAACTGGAAGCTGCAACTGGTACAGGAAACTGCGAACCTTAGGCCTACAGCCTGGTGGCCCCACAAGGGGGCCGGCGGACTTTGAACGGTTTTTGGAAGGTTTTTTTTTGTTGGAAGGTGTTTGGAAGGCTTTTGAAAGGTTTTTGGCAGGTTTTTGGAACAACTTTTCAACAACCGTCCTAACACCTTCTTCAGGAAGAATCCAGGATTCCTGGAACCTCCCAAAAAACCTTCCTAAACCCTTCTCAGGAAGAATCCAGGATTCCTGGAACCTTCCAAGAAAACCTTCCTGGAACCTTCCTCAGGAAGGTTTTTGGAAGGTTTTTGGGCCAACCCCTCCTGGGTTCTTCCCGAGGAAGGTTTTAGGGAGTTTTTTTTTTTTTTTTTTTTTTTTTTTTTTGTTTTGTGTTCTTGTGTTTTTTTGTTGCAGAAGTTTTGGAAGGTGTCTGGAAGGTTTTTTTGTTGAAGGTTTTTGGAAGGTTTTTTGGAAGGTTTTGTTCGAAGGTTTTTGGAAGGTTTCCGGAAGGTTTTTTTGTTGGAAGGTTTTTTTGGAAGCTTTTTTGGAAGGTTTTTGGAACGTCTTGGGCGGCTTCGCTAAATTTTGGTAGTTTTTTGGAAGGGTTTTTTGGACGGTTCTTGGAAGGTTTTTTTTGAAGGTTTTTGGAAGGTTTTTTGGGAGGTTCTTGGAAGGTTTTTGGAGAAACCTTCCAAAAACCTTCCTCGCCCCCACCCCCCGGGAAAACCTTCCAAAAAAACCTTCCTAAAACCTTCCTCAGGAAGGTTTCAGGAGGGGCTCGCCGGAACTGCCGCACCGGTCTAGAAAAGTGCTAGGGGGCATTGCTGTTAGTCGGCTGAAAACGATGGCAAGGATCTGCTTGGGCTGGGGGCTGGTGTCCACATGCTTCGGGAAAGTTATGTATGACCGCCGTTTGTGTGAGCAGGGCAGTCAGGAGGATCGGGCCTGCGATTTCTCGGCGGGGGGCGGTGGAAACTTGTCGTAAGGCCTCATACATATTGTCGGAAGGCGGCATGCGTGCTTTCCGATTCTGTCAGGCGGCGACACAATTGCCTTCCGATTGCTGGAATCACGTGGGTGCCGCGGGGATGGGCTGGACGACGGCGCGAGTACGGATTCTGTACGAGTGGACGAGGCCAACCGCGCTTGTAGCTTCAGGCTGTAGACGTCAGGCTGCCCATGATTTCCAGTGGTCCACGTCGTTGCAGGTTTCGGCGCCGATGTCGACGTCGACGTCCTGCTCCACCTCATCCTCCTCGTCCTTCCGCCCGCTTCCTCTTGCGGAATTCCAGTGGCCCGCTTCTTCTTGCGGATTTGAAGTGGTACATTTCTTCGTGCAGTTGGCTGTTCTAGGTATCTTTGGGAGCTCACCTCTTGTGGTCCGCCTCCTCTTGAGGAACTCCAGCGAGTTCACTTCTTGCGGGAGTCCAGTGGTCCAGTGACAGGTGATGAGCGGATCTCTTTTGGGACCTCGTTCGCAATGCCCCCCTCTCTCCCGTCCCTTGTGCTCTTTGCCTTCGTGCGCCCCTTTCTCCAACTCCGCGCGACAGAGGGGAAGGATAGGCGTCGATCAGTGCCCAGCCGCGCCGCCTGCCTTGCACACAGCCCCTCCTCAGGAGATCATGTCCAGCGTCATGTACACTGGGCTGATGGACTCCACCAAGGCGGCTCGTCTCTCTCTCATTATCTCTCTGCCCATCTGCATCGTTCTGTCTTTATTTTTTCTCTCTGTCCCTCGCGCTCCACAGGAGGGGCAGGAATGACGACGATGCTGATGATGAAGATGATGATGATGAAGAGGAGGAGGATTCTGATGATGATGATGATGATGATGATGATGATGAGGAGGAGGAGGAGGAGGAGGAGGAGGAGGCGGGAGGAGAAGGAGGGGGGGAGGGAGAGATTGAGGAGGATTCATATTATTGTCGAAAGAAGAATAATGGTAATGCGACTGATGTGGAACATACTAACAACACGGTGGTGTTGGCCATCGTGGACCTCTAACAGTAACTTACTGCACCGTGGATGTGTAAGCCATGTGGTGCTATCTACGTGCCGCAAACTATGTGGTGTCAGCTAGGTGGTGCAAGCTATGTGGTGTAAGCTATGTGGTTCAACCTCGACGGACCTTCCGAGCGAGGTTGGCGGTAACGAGGTGGCCACGGGCGGTGACGCGGCGAAACCTCGACATACCCCCCAAGTGGGCGGCAATGAGGCGGCAACGGGCGCTGACGCAGCAAAGCCTCCACATCCCCCAAGTTGGTGCCTCATCCTCGTCCTCCTCCTCTTCCTCCTCCTTCTCCTCCTCCTCCTCTTCCTCTTCCTCCTCCTCCTCCTCCTCCTCCTCCTCCTCCTCCTCCTCCTCCCCTCTACCCCCTCCTCATCCCTTCTTGCGCCTTATCCCCCTCCTCCTCTCCCCTCCCCCTGCCACTCCCTCCTCTTCCCCCCCTCCTCCTACACCCCCCACCTCTTCCCCCCCCCTCCACAATTACACAAGATGAATACCACTCTCCTTTCTCCCCTGACTCTGTCCAGAGAGTGTCCCGAAATAGAAAATAATATACACAGGATTTCCTTATTGTTTTTTGTATGTTTTTCAGTCCTGTCGTTTCCGGTTCTTACAAAATGGTGCTCAGCTGCAGCGCCGTCGCATCCGGTTGCTCCAACTCGTGTTCCCGCAGCAGCACTGGCGTGCTCGGTCCTTGCAACTAGCGCTGTCGCTGTAGCGCTGGCCTCGTTCCAGTGCTGCGGTCCTTCCAAATCGTGCTCCCGCTGCAGCGGTGGCCTCATTCGCGTTTTCGGTCCTGGTTTTGTTCCGGCACTCCAGCCCTCCTAAATCGTGCTCCCGCTGCAGCGCTGGTCTCATTTCCCTCGGTCCTGGCCTCATTCCCGCGCTTCGTTTCTTCCGAATCGTGTTGGGCCACTTACCCTCCAAGTCATCCGGTGCCATGCCACGGCATGCGATGCGATACTGTGTTGTGCACCGCTGTGCGATGCCATGCTTTGCGTTGCTGTGCTTTGTGATGCAATGCTTCACTACGCAACCCCACGCCATGCTATGACGTATTAAGCTCTGCCGTGTTCTTCTACGCCATGCTTTCCAATCCAGCGCGAACCCTCTTGGGATCATTGCCCTGCTCGACATCCGACTGTGCGAATAGATATCTACGCCATGCTAAGGGATGGGAGGGAGGGGTAGGACGTCAGATGTGACTCTAGCGCACCAAGCTTGCCCTCCCCCCTTCCCCCCCTCCCCCTCCTTCTCCCCCATCTGGGCCTGAACGGCGACACCATAGGAGATAGAAAAGAGGAGTGCCGTATGCACGCGCGACGCCATTGTCCCTTTCCTCTTCTCCCATCATCTTCTTCTTCTTCTTCTTCTTCTCCTCCTCCTCCTCCTCCTCCTCCTCTTCCCGCGGCTGCCCTTCTCCGCTTCGGAGTGGGGACGCTCCTCGGGGGTGCAGCCCGATGTCGAACACGCGACTGTTTGGGGTGCCGCTTGTGCCCATGGAGGGCATGCGCCCGCGGTGAAACAAGCAGAGGAGGAGGAGGAGGCGGAGGAGGGGGAGGAGGAGGAGGAGGAGCAGGAGGAGGAGGAGGAGGAGGAGGAGGAGGAGGAGGAGACTGACTGACTGACCACTGCGTGAGGGAAACAATAGTCCCGAGCAGAGCACCGCGCACCGTGCAGGCGCGCTTCTGGAACCGGTCGTGTGAGCCCTCGCCCCACGAAAGCGAACGGGCGGATGCCCTCACGGCGGGTCCTGGGCACGCCCCGCCAGGAGACGGAACGGCGGGCACAGGGCGCCGAGGGACTCGCCGCGAGTCTGTTGGTGCCCCAAATCCCCGGAGGCACATAAGATGACAGTAAATACACTGATCACGGGGGAAGGAGAGAGGAGGGCGGGGGGGGAGGGGAGGGGAAGAGGAAGAGGGAGACGGGAAGCCGGCACGACGCGCTACCTCACATCTTGCAGTCCCTGTCGGCATCGTCGGGGACGATCTTGCGAAGCTCATCCAGTAAAGTCTGGAGCTTGCGCTCGCCTCCCGAGCGCGGCGCCTGGCCGTACTTCTGCACCCCGCCGGCAGCGCAGATAGCTTTGACCATGATGTTGGTCAGCTGCTTGGCCTCTGGAGCCGTGGCAAGAAAGAGCTTCTTATTGGAGTCCCGGAATGCTTTGCGCACCTTGCACACGTGCACCACATGGACCAGGGCATCTGGATCCGCTGCAGCAGCTCGGTGATTGGTGATCAAATTCCGCTCTTCCTTTGTCAAATGCTCATCTGTTGCCGCCATGGCTGTGAGATTAGCCCAGACATGCACATGGGGCTCACCCGAAGGTTTCGAGCCCTTGCCCTCGGCCGCAGCCTTGCAAGCGTCAGCGTACTGCTTGCTCGTGGGCCGGGCCTCTGCAATGTACGAGTTGTCTGTCTGGCAGAACACCATCACGAAAGTTGCCGCCTGGAGCTCGCGAATCTCGAGGCTGTTCTTCAGCGTGAGGGCAGCTACGAGTTTGAGAATCTGGGCGAGCAGCTCCTCGGTGCCCGCCGCGATCTTCTTGGCAGCCAGAGCCCCCCGCCGGAGCGCCTCGCTTCAGCGACCACCCCTCCATAGCTGGGAGATGTGGGGAAGGAGATGGGGTAAGAGGCTGTTCCACTCAGGAGAATGCAATCAAGGGGTGACGACAAATGGCCCTGGAACGTGCTGCGTAACATGATCCAGCAAAGACAGTAAATCATCACATTCATGTCCACACTGTCTGCACACCAGCTCGTCCGGCACAGTGGGGGCTGTAGTGAGTATGCTCCCCTTCCCCCTGCAAACCTTGTTTCGAAGAGAGAGAGTGCTATGTGTCGACGCGCAGTTACACGAGTATGGAAAACACACCTGCACCAAGGGCACTGGTTCGTCACAGTGGCAACGTCAGCGTACTGGAGTTTTCCATGGTCCCCTCCCTTAGTCATCCGCTGGTGGATGATGAGCTGCTTTTTGGATGGGAACTTGGCTCCGCACACGGCCCCCCCGCTCGAACGGAGGGTGCAGACGTACGAAACTTCCTCCTCTTCCGGTGGGGGCTGGGGTTCCGGATGCACTGCAGGTGGTGTCCATCCAGGCGGCGGAATGGCGACAGCGAAATACTGCGTACGCAATTCGTGCACGTCCAGGCGCACAAAATCTTCCCGTGCCCTCCCCGGATGAAATACCTCTGTGTACCGAGCTACCGTGTAATGAATCCAACAAGTCCTGGCCTCTGTCAATGCTCTGCAACGCCAGCATGTCCTCCCGGAATCTCTGTGCCCATGGATTGATGTCGGCAGCGCTCCCCACAGTACCATCCGGCAACACAGTCTGACGCACTTCGCACCGCAATTGCCCAAACATGGCCGCAAACACATTCACGTGTAGGTGGGGGTGTGTAGCTAGTTGTTGGTACCATCGCAAGCGCCGTACCATTAGTTCTAGCTTCGACGGAACCATGTGTAGAAACCTCCATACTGTAGTATTCGGTACTGACGTGTATTTGATCACACCGTTCACATCTACTGTACGCGTGCACGCACCTCCTCTCATTACTTTCCGCCCGAGCTTCAACACAAAACGGTCTAACATCTTGTATTCTCCTGGCAGAAGAACGTACGCTTCCAGACCCGAGTACAGTGCGCCTATCACAATACCCTGAAATATAATCCGGACAGCATGTGTAGGCAAGTGCGCTCGATACCACAACCGTGTATATGTGCACCACCCCACGTATGCATTATGTATGGCTCGTCTTATTTGTGGTTTGTTGCACCCTCGGAAATGAAACATCCCACCCAGATATTTGGTAGAGAAGGCCGTCGTCCCAGGAAGTATGGCGTCGTGTACTGTTTGTTTGATGTACTCGTGCGCCCTGTCCCCCCAAAACCACACGGTATGCTCCTGCTTTGACAGATTCTGTGCCATGTCATCCCCGAGTGCATCGTCTAGGTGCATGTTTGAATTGGTGACCTCTGCGAACATATCCTCGGGTGTGTCGGCAATTGTTTTCTTATGGATGTCATCAGCGTGCGATGAAACATCCAACCGTGTTGGCTGTCGCGTGATAGGGTCCACGACGTCCAGTGGCGAGTAAGGGTCTTCATGGCGAAGGACCTCCCTCCACCTGTCTACCCGTAGGTGGTAATCTTCCAAAAACAGTGACGAAGCAACCGAATCACCCTGTGCACCAGATCGTGGACGCACGCTGAGGATACCGTCCGAACACGTCACCGTCATCACACTGTCGCGGTACCGTTGCTTGAACAATTGTTTGTCTTCCTCCCGTGCAAGTCGCTCAACTGCATGATCGAGCTTCTCATGGGCAGGGGACGGGAAGGCGTTTGCCACGTCATAGCTGTCGCTGCTATGGCTGATGCGAGACGTCCGAAGGCGATGCGAAACAGCAGCCTGCTGCACCATAGACTCCAATCGCGATTTGTTAGCATAGTACCTGGAAGCGTAATGCCTGTAAGACTTAGGACTGCTAGCCTGCCAGAGGTGACTGTAAAATGATTTCCCGTACGGGTCCAAAGAGTTGACCAAACGCACCGCACCACAACCATCCTTGTCATTCCCTTTATCTATTTCGAACGTTTGTGACCTGTGCCACCAAATGGGAGTTTGGCTGTGTCTGCGTATTTCAACGTGCAGCTGATGTACCCGACGCATGAAATTTGGTGCCGCGGGGGGGGTCCCGTCAGCTTCCAACCCCATCCGGGGTCGCGTGAGTGAGAAATCTGGACGAAATAATTGCCTCCAGAGCTCCACTGGTGCACACCAAGGGGGGCACGACCTGCGCAAACGGGAATTGTGAACGTAGTTGCTGGTCCGGCGGACGTCGTATTTAGCTAGTATGCCTAACATCGGTGTGAATGCCCTGGGTTGTGCTTCTTGCATGTGTTGGTCTCGTGCAACTTGCCACTCCAGCGCATCGGCCGTGCATCCTCCCAGAGGGCCTGGTTGGGATAGATAGTTGCGCCAAGCATCCTGGTCCGGGCGTTCACGCAAGGGCGCGTCGTAACGGCGCCGCTTTGGACCTAGAGACTTCCCCGTCAACACACGTGCCGCACAGTGCGTGGCGTGCAGGTCGCGCGCGCGCCACGTCTCCTGGAATACACGTACATGCTCGTCCTGCCATTGTTGCCTGTCCCGCTGCACGCACATGTCATACCTACGCCGTGCAGCAGTGTACTGTGATAGAAGATGCCACGTTGAGAAGATGTCTGCCAAGTCCTGCATGAGATACACATCATCTCGCATTCTATCCCTCAATCCCGGATCTCCCAAGGGTATGTGTGTGACAAGCTCGCGCCGTCGCGTGATCACCAAGTCGTTAGCTTCTTGGGTGTCGGTGGGGCGCGGACGTTGAGCTCTAGGTTTCTTGCGATACAAGCCCCGTCCTGCCTCGATCACAGCACGAACCAAGAATTCCCATACCATTGTCGGATGTTGTACGTCTGGTCGCCACTGAGCATCTGAACACTTCTCCTCAACAGAAGAAATAAACTCGTTCCTGCCTTCTCCAAACAGCACACCTCTCACCAGTGCATCGCGATCCCAAGAGAACGAAACCTCCCCTTCAAGATCGTGCCCAAATGTGAGCCCGTGTCGGAAAGTCACCTGAACAGGTACGTGATCCCTGTAACCAAAATGTTGTGACGAATACCCCGAATCGTAAACTGGAATCAGTTGTAGCCGTGCAGCCGTATGCCAAAGGATCCTACTCATGTGGTACCTGTGTCGGAAAACCTGTGGCAAACATATGTAATCCACCCGTGATGTGTGAAAAGCCCCGTAAAAGGTAGGCCCCGTTGGGATGCTCGTATTTACAGCCCACATGTGGTTCCCTTCCAGAGTCTCCCGCATTAGCTTGCCGTTCGCATTTTCCCTGGCTGGCTCCGCTTGTCCGATGGCTGCTGAAGCTGGCCCCGATCCTACATGCGCATTCGCATCCATCATAAGCACAGGAACACACCTACCGGGGAGTGCTGCGACGAACTTGAAAACGTAATCCGAAATCTCTGAGCTCTTTTGGACATCTTTTTGAGTGCGTGGGTTCGTGGGCATGTACACCACAATCACACAAAAATCCACATCCCCCCGTTTGATGCGTAGAGCCCCGAATCGACCACGATACCGCACAGGAGGACAATACACTTTTTCGCACGTGAGTTTAATTGAACAACTTGCAACGTATGCCTATGGCAACGCCTGCAGGCTGATGCGGCCTCGAAAAGCTGGCCACCTGTACACAAAGTGGGTGTCAATACGCTTCACAGTCACAACCGGGTCATCAGGCCGTCCGACATCCGATGTCCCAGGTAATGCAAACATTGACTGGTACCGAAACTCGTGTAAGATGTTACGTAATCTGTCGGAGTGCTTTAGAGATAATGGATTGTACATTACACACGTCCACTTCGGCAGTCGTGAATCCCCTGTCCCTTGCCCATCTGTACTTCCATTCCTGACCCCCCCATGTGATTGCATATGATCGTGTACGTGGAACTGTGTTCAACAGACTGCACGGCAAGCGGCTCACACGAGAATCCCACTGCCATGCCCCATGAAAAAAACGTCAGAGGCCCGAATGTGGAGGCCAGCCTTCGGCCGCTCGGTCCACACTGGCTGGAGGAGGAGGAGGAGGAGGAGGAGGAGGAGGAGGAGGAGGAGGCGGAGACTGGCGCCAGGCCCATCCTGGGACCAGGAGCGTTGTATACGCCCTCCCTTTGCCAGGGAGGCATACACACTGCTCGTGGACCAGGGATGGGCTAGGCCAGGAGCAACGGACATGCACAGATCTCGTCGCCCAAGGGGAGGGCACGACCTGCCAGCACGACGTCGCCAGCTCTTCCTCAAGAGGCAATGTTCGGCGACTCCAAAGGGTGTGGTTTGCAAAGGGTGTGGTTTGCAACTGGCACCCTGGGAAACATACTGGGAGTCACCGTAGGGAGCGCGCGGGGACCTCCATAGAGTTCTCCCCCGCCCCGAGGCGACCCGACGAGGACAGCGTCGTGCCCCCCAGGCCCCAACGGTGCTGATCGCAAGCCACACCACGGCGTGACCATACCCTCTGTCGCCGCCGAAACGTTTCGGCCGCTCGAAGGAGGCCTGGAACGGCCAAAACCCCTCGGGGCCTTCGGTGCCCTCCAAACGGGGACTTTGGCAGACTAGGGTTATGATGTTCCAACCTGCTTTAGCCTTGATCACCAGGGAGAGTTTCGAGCACCAGACAAAGTACCGAAACTCGAGGGTTTTCACGTGTCGGGCCCTGGGAGACATTCGTCCGACACTGTTTCGACACTGTTTCGATACAGTTTCGACACTTTTCTGGGTACTCGAAATTATTTCTGGAATGTGGTCCTTAAGGACGATGGGAGCAACATAAAACTAGGGTTAGGTCGGGCATGTCCCCCCTACAGGCGGATTTTGGACGAAGAATTAAAACCATCTGCTAAACCATGTTATAAACCATAGTTACACATGACGAAGAAGTCGTCTCCCGAGCATGTTCTACTATTTTTTGAAGATTCCTCCCGTAGCGGGACAGGCCCGACCGAAAATTAGGGCACTGGAGCGCCCAATAAAACGGCAGCCGTGGGTCGAACAAATCTCTGGTCTTCGTCCTCTGGGTCGAACAATTGGTCGAACAATTGGTCGAACAATTGGTCGTCCTCTTGGTCGA